ATTTCTTTGTACTTCAATTTTTTTTTTGGGGGGGGGGGGGGGTTTATAAAAAAGTTCACAGAAGCTTTTATGAATTTTGACCATGATATTTCATAAAATGTCAAGAGTGGGTTTCCAAAACCTAATTCCACTGGTGTATAGTTATTCAAAGTTTTCACATTAGTGAATCAAAATTTCGAAGTTTTCACTATGGTAGATCAAATTTGCAAAGTTTTACTAAAGTTAATCAAAGTTTTTAAGTTTTCACTATAGTTAATCAAAGTTTCAAAGTTTTTATTAAAGTTAATCAAAGTTTCAAAGTTTTTGCTTTGATACTATAGTTAACTGTAGTTAACTAAAGTTTACTATAGTATTAATTGGTAAGGACTGGCTCAAAATCTCCTCTCATTCAAATGTATCTTAATAGTAAATAAATATACATGTATTAATATTCTTGTTCTAGTATAAAAATGTATGCTGTATAGTATATAATTATTTTACCAATTAAAATGGGAAAAGCATGGTCAAACAATTTACAGAGAATGATAAAATGAAGCGAGGAGTAACCTTTTTTTTTTTTAATTTTGAGGTTAATGGTCAAGGCTGATTTATAATAACAGATACCAAGATCAACAATTTAATATTAAGGCCGTGTTGTTATTTTTTATTACAGCTTTATATGCAATAAGACTTCATGATTATTGAAAAATGTTTCAGTCTTTCAGACCAAGATAAAAGAAATCTATAATATATATACAGTTTTAATACAACTAAGAAACTTTTCTCCGGATTTTTGTTAGAAACGCATGCATATGGTACACGTATTGCAGTTCTTTTTTAAGGACCGCAACTTGTATTTTTTTAATCTTTTATTTTATGATACAAATGTCATAAAAGAAACATGATTTTGACTCATTATGTCTCTTTAAGTCTGTTAGAGTCATTCCATATTTGTAAAATTCCAGAGCAGTCAATGTTCGTGGGCAAGCAAAATTTAATTGTTCGTGGGGTCGTTATTTCATTTATTTTAATACAAATTAAATTAATCAAAACCTTGACAGAAAAATTATTCGTGAAGATGTAAATTCGTTTGTAAAGGTGACCCACGAAATCCACGAGCATTGGTCCCCCATGAGCAATGATGATTCCACAGTATGTTTAAGTCAACTGGCATTGGTAAAATTATCTAACGTTCTTTTATAGAAAAACGATCGGAAAAGAGATTTTTAATAACAGAACTTTTTGACTTTAACCTTTTTAAATCGCATAACTTTGTTTTGTTTGTGACAGCTCATCTTCTATTCAACGCTGGATATGCCGCTCTTTCACTTACTTGCCAATCAAAGGAGAGGAGGAGGGCTTCTCGGAGCAATCGTCTGCCCTATTCATAACGTCCTTAGTAGCCGGAAGTTCAAAAGCAAGAATAGCATTCGGATGGTTCTCGACGAAGTTTCCTGCACTTCGAACTCGAGTATATCTTGGTGTTGTGTTTACAGCGATCCTGAAGTTACGATCCCTTATTTTAAGCATAACTACTTACATTTCCAACAGTTTTCTCTATGATAATTCTTTGAAAGTTAAGTGTGCTAATTTTCCCCCGCTTTCACTGAAAGTGGTGGATATTAATTTGGGTCTGTCCGTCAGTCCGTCCGTCTGTATTTCTGTCTGTCTGTAACACTTTCGTTTCCGCGCGATATCTCGGGGGGGGGGGGGATTTAATGAATGATAGTATTCAGCATGTGAAATGAAGAAGTTATGACGTCTGGCTTGTACAAACTCATAAAAACATTATTACAGTGTGATAAATAAAAAGAATCTTCTATACGCATATTAAAGAATAAGCAATCAAACCTTTATATCCAAACCGGCATTTTTTATTTGCTTCAATATACATGTATACATTTAATAATTTTAATAATTCTACAAATCCAGGGAGGGGGAGGGAGTCCAAGAATCTTCAATACACATATTAAAGAATAAGCAATCAAATCTTTATATCCATAATGGCATTTTTTATTTGCTTCAATATACATGTTTACATTTAATAATTCTACAAATCCGGGGGGGGGGGGGGATTCCGACCCCCCAACTGCACATGCTCTTCTTTTTTCCCAAAGCGGGGGACAAAAATTCTCTGAATTAGCTTGTTTATTTATAATCACGTTCTTATTTCATATCCAAATGTAAGGAATCTCTGTCTAGTTTGTTGGATATGCCAGGGACATTAACGACAGTTGGAAATGTGGGATAATTTATGCAAATTATTCTACATTAACTGTTTTAATGCCCTGCATATCCAACAAACTAGACAGTGATTCCTTGAATTACAACGTAAATAATAAAAATCCATCTCGAATTCATTTATTCCTCAATGTTTTTGTGATAGCATACGGTAATATCATTTATCTACACCGATAAGTTCTTTAACAAGCAAACCTAATTGTCAAGCAATTACACGAGACCTGTCATGGCAGCTGGAGATGACGACTGGAAAAATATGAAATTCTTTTTTTAAGCGTTCAAAGGGCTTCGATGTTGATCATGAATAAAAATTTCATGTTATTCGAAGAAATTTTAATTCAAAATATTCAAAACTTATTTTACCTGAAGTTGACTGAAGTGAAAAAATATTTTTGCACCTTTACGGTGACCCTATAGAATTTTAGCCCTCTCTCAAATACGCCAAATGAGAAAAATCGGAGAGGGTACATTATTTTAGCTAATAGCCTACTAGACGAAAGCACGGGGAATTGAAGTTATACCACTACTGACAGAAAAATTCCAATAATATATATTGTAGGGTTATTACTTACAGCCTATAGGCTTATAGCAGAGAGAAATACTTTGTTCAAAATCCCACATTTAGTTTTGGAGCAGAAGTAGATGTACGTCACCCCCCCCCCCCTTTGTAAAAACTTGAAAAATAACAATTTCATTTATTGTGAAACCTGTTATACTATGCTATGGATATTGTACTTCAGGTGCTCTTATTTCATTTTCCTCAAGGAAAAAAGCAGCGAATATGCACATTTTAATGATAAATTGATTTTTTTTCTTGTAGGCCTAAACATTAACTTTTAACGCCCTACGAATAGGCCGAGTATTTGATACAAAAGCATGTATTCAGAAAAAAAAATGTATTGATTAAAGGACAAAATTTTATTAATTGTATTTGAACAATACCTTATTTATTAATTTTCTCTTTTCAGGTAAGCAAAATTTATTACGAAGTACAAATTGTACTTCGGGTTCGTTGCCACTATGCTCTCAGTGAGGAATATACAAATTTTAGCTATAAATTTATTAGGAAAACCTACTAATAGTCTTTCGATGCATAAATATATTCACACCTAATAGTGTTATAAGTAATTTACCATTATTTCAATGACCATTCACACAAAAGCTTTTTTATGTTCATGCAGCTATAATCGCCTCGTTTTCCTTTTTAACATCGGACTCGATGCTATATAATGTTCTAGAAGTTTCCGTCAATGTTTAGATCGGCGAATGAAGAAAATAATTTGCACATTTCTCTTTTTAATCGGTTATCACAACTTATTTCTTTTATATCATTTTAATCAAATTTTGATTGAATAATTCAGTGATGACGTTTAATGAAATAAATAAACGATTGCTTGTTGTCAGTTTCATTAAAAATTGCCAGTAACTTAGATCCGCCAACCGGAACCGCCACCGTACTCACGTTTTTGCTATTTCATGGCTGTTTACAGAAAAAGGAAGTAGACTTTTAATTTCATGTACAATACTTACTATGCGAGTGAAATCTGAATATAGTTTACGGACATCATCTTGTATCTAGTGTATTCACAGAGGAGTTAGTAAGAACTCTGGTGCACCCGTTTCGGAGTTTATTTGCAAAAGTTATTAATTTATAAGTATGGATTTTTAATTAATTATTTTTACTGCTGAAGCAAGCTTATTGATATTGGAAAAAGCTTTTTAATACCTTTTTGGGGGATGGAGGTGGGTTAAGTTGTGTGTGGCTGTTCAGTGGAAAACATGTTCATCTCATAGGTTTTCTATTTCTGTGTAAATTTCTGTTTTTTAACGTATGTGAAAAGGATAAAGCTAGAATACATTTTGAGCTAACACTTGCTTTAAAATTAACCCTTGTTCTAGATCTATCTTGTCCAGTCATCTCACCCTCACCACCTCTATTTTGTACCCTTGCCTCCTCTTTGTCTTTCTTTTTAGAATTGAAATTATCTGGCCCCATCAACACAATCAGCACAATATTACTTTTAATTGTTTATTTCATTTCATTTTCAGCTAAGAATCCTGAATCTGATGTTTTTATTGGGGGTGTGGGTGGGGTTTGGGGTTAATTGAAGGGGGTATAGGGTGCCACACAGGTGCATTCCTTTTCAGGAATCACTCATACAGAGATCCCTTCGGTACTTCTTGGGATGTTGGGAGTGGGCAGGTTTCCTAGCAGTCTATCTATAGCAACTATGCAACAGGGAATCGAGTCCCTTATAGGAATCTAGGAATCCCAATTGCAGGTAAAATAATTGTATACTAAACTTTAAAATGCTTAACATTATCCTTGTTTATGCATTAACGATTCCTGTTCCAAGCATATTTACTCTGCAATTTAACTGATAAATGAAACATTCTTTTCATGAATGAAAAAAAAATGTAATTCCCATGATGATTGTGTGAACAACAAAATCGATGTGTCTAAATTTTAGTGTTTGCGAGCAAGAAGACAATTTAAACAAACATAATCATACTAAAGAGTGCTAATAATTATACACTGCGAAAATTGTTCAATATTAAATATTGCCAGTTATGTGCACTAGATAAAATTGAGTCACTCATGTGACCTTCCTGGACATAAAAACGTCAAATGCTTTGAGTGCGCGATCCCTACCTTAAAACACCGAACACTTTACTGATAATCCATCCTTTAACTGCATGAAGATCTGATGTGTTTGAGTCGTCAGCTTTGACTCTTAATAAGAACTTCTGCTTACTTACTTTACATAAATTAACCATTTCTAGCATATTTGGTAAACAACACATTTTCTTTCGTAGTCTAACACCAATATCTTGTCTCCTGCTGGATGAAGTGTAATGTTATAAGTATCGGTCATGTCTGTCAAAACAATGTCTCTGCTTTCCCTTTCTTCGCGTTTTAGCTGTTTAAGTTTAGTAGTCGTATGAAAACAAACCAATATGTTATCTTGTGAGTCAAATGCGAGTCCACGAGGATATCCATCCTGAGCACTCTTAAAAATCTCTTTGTTATTCTGATCCACAACTATTACCATCCCATCTCTTATAAAACAATGATTATCTGATATCAACGACGAGCACACAAAGGGAACCTTTCCATCACTTGTATATGCTGAACTATGTATAATGCAGAAATCCAAAGAACAAATCATTCTCTTGGAATCATTGGCGGCAAACACTGACGTTGGCCCACAAGAAATTGCCAACATAGGCTCTTCCAAGTGAATGGTTCTAACTTTTGTTATTTTTGTAGTTTCTGCGACCTCAATTCGATAATGATTAATAAAGTTTTTAAAAGAAACATAAAGTTCATTCAAACATAAACCAGTGTGGCAGAGGCCGTAAGGTTTGTCCTGACACTTCTCAGTGTGAACACATTCTCCTGTGGACTTGCTGATGTCGTAAATCTTCAGCGAAGGTGGGTTAGCCAGAGAAAGTATAATCCTAGTGTCATGTATAAACAAGCCATAACAAACTGTTTCTGACTTTTCGTTAATCTCCGATAGCTTTTTAAATTCAACTTTCATCCAGTCCATTTGAGACATTCTTTTTCTTCTTTGTAAAATATTATCTTTATCAGTTATCTTTGGAGCACTCATCTGTGAAATTCTCTCCACAATCCTAGATTGTACTTTAGACAATGCTACGTCTTCAAATTCTTTGCCATTGGAAATTTGACTCAGAAAGTCTGAGTTGTGTTGCATGTAATCTTCAGAGAAGTTCCAAATATCCAAAGATTTTAAACGAGTAATGTAGTCAGAAATCTGATTTTGTAATCTATAATTCGTAATAAACAGTTGTTTTGAGGATCCACTATTCAACATTGATTGTAGTATGATTATTGCCTCATGTACTGTAGTAGAAAACCGTTTCAACTCATCAGAAGCTATTTCAATGTTTCCAATAGAATCTGCATGATTCTGTTCAAACCGTTTCAGCCACTGTGCATGAGCACCGTCCAGTAACGAGCTGATTTCTTTAACTTTCTCTTCTGTCTTCATACATATTTCTTGCTTCCTGCTGTTGAGTTTGGCTACTTTATTCAAGTTTTCTAACAGCATATCTTCCAGTCTTTTCTCCAAACAAATATATATCGAAGCAATATTTTGAATGTTATCTCGGTCAATTCCCAAAGCCATATCTTCAACTGTGTCTAGATTCTTGCATAGTTTATGCTGTTTGACGAGGCATATGCTACAACATAGCTCTTGGTGGTCGTGACAAAACACATCAAGTATCTTCCCTTTGTGCAAGAGACATGACTCTTCTACCTCAACTTCGCTGTTCAACTTTTTGATGTCTGAAATACTTAATATTTTATGATTCTGCAGACTTTGCACAGCTCTGTGTAATGATTTACAATCTTCGCAAATAGCTTCCATACATGCTTTGCACCAGTGCTTCGCAGGTACAGTTTTCTCTTGTCGTTTGCAAATCATGCAGTTTTTATTTTCATCTTGTTCCAGAGACATAGCCAGAATAAGTTTATTTTGTGGTAATTCGGATGCCCATTCTCCACTAGAAATGTCAGTCCTCGGAGCTTCGATACATCTACGACACACTGGACATTCGATGAATTTTATTGTGTCGTTTTCCTTATGTGTTGCCATACTTGACATGTAAGTCTGAATACATGCCTCACAAAATGTGTGATAACACGACAAATACTTTGGATTTCTTACCTTCTCTAAACATATCGGACAGTGAATTTTTTCACTCGCAGGGTAAGCGACTGGGATTTTGTTTTTTAAATCAGCCATTTAAAAGAATGATACATATATTCTCAAAGGCCCAAGCTCAACTTTCGGTTTAAATTCTCCTCATTATGGCACGCCGATGGAATCAAAAGTATCTTTTGATAAATTCATAAAGTTCGTGATTTTTAAAGCTTCAAAACTGTGTTGTAGATTTTTATATGGTTGATTCTTACTTAAAAATAATAAGAAATCTAAAATTAAAAAGAAATTAAAAATATACATTGTGACAAGATATAAGATTCATTCTGTATCAGAACCTTATAGCAATGACCGAATTTAACGAGGCCCTAGTTAATCTGACATTTCCGGAAGTAAGGTGGCAGAGGACAGTTTTTTGGCAATCAAAACGTTTGGCTGATGTTTTTCTTAATATTGAGCTGCTTGTAAAATGTGCATTGGAAAATTTTAAATTCTTTCTACATGTAACAATGGTATGGTCTAGGCCCTTGAGGATTTCGAAGCTTTTAGGAATAAAACATGTACAACTTACACAATGAGCCCTAATGATGGCACAGGGACAATCTCAAACTTTCATGAAAATTTAGCCTATTTTCACTATTTCGCCAGATCCGCAACAGCTTCCAGGCCCGTGCTAATGCCCTACACTACCACACAAAATGCAGACAAACACCTGCACATACCACTGAACAGCAAGGGATAATGGCTCAACCACCTCGTTTTCAAGCTACAATTCATCCTATGAACCCAACCCGCTTTTCTGGTGAAATATCGGAAGAGTGATTTTGATCTTAGTTTCGTATTTCTAGTCCATATCCCATAAACAGTAGTAGTGACACTAAAGTGTCATATATCAATAAAATATACAAGGCCACCAATTCCCTCCAAATGCACACATAAAATATTCTAGCAATAAAATCACATATAATATGCATTCAAACCTTAGGTTTCTCTTTTTCTTTTTTCTTTTTTTTTTTTTTTTTTTTTTTTCTTTTTTTTTTTTTTGACCGGTACTTAATCCGAAACTGTCCTCTGTCACCTTTAACTTTCAAAGTTTGTCTTGCAAGTAATAATTAAAAACTTCCTTAATGCAAAAAGTACATGCAATTCTGAGCAAAAATATACAAAATATGTCTCAATTTATTGAAAAATAAAAAAAGTTATGGCCAAATTAGAGACCTCACCAATTATCGGTCAACCACCTTAAGCCCAGTTTGTTTGTTTCACATAAAAAAGAAGCAATTCTTACAATTCAAAAGGATCAATTTACTATCAAAAAAGTGTTAAATGGTAACTTTAATCTATTTCAAATACAATTACATGTAAAAAGTCAAATAAAAAGTGCACATCTTGATGAAATGTACTCACATGTATCACATACTCCCCTACTTTTCATGTTCTGTGAAATTCCATTTTATCTCTTTATTCCTTGGTTTTATATATCTACAGCTTCTTTGCAAAATTAAAACCTTATTTACCTTTAAGGATATTTATTATGATATGCAAAAACCCCTCTTGCATCACATGCTGAAGAAGAAGTGTCCTGGAAATGGCAGTTATACACCCAACCCCTCCAGCCATTACTCCAGTGAATTGAAAATGCACTGTGAAAATCTGATTTTCCTAACTGCACTCTTTCTAAGTGTTTAATATTCACTTTCAACAATTTTGAGTAATCAAATACATACATTTAATTCTCCTGAATATTAAAAGTGACTATTCTGGCCTTCCTGGGCATTTGTGGGCAGATTACATGGGCCTAGCACAATTCAACAATTACATGAAAATGTACATCTTACTGATATTACTTCATTAAATATGCAATATAAACTCTTTGTTTTGTTATTATTCAAAGAAAAATATACATTCCATAGGAAACAATTGAAAAATTCAGATTCTATCACATTTAAATATAGATAAATAAAAAAATTGAAAGGGGGAGGGCATTTTTCATGTGAACATTAATTATAAAGTGGGCCTAATTTGGTAAAATAAAGCATAAAAGTTTTTTTTTTTGTACTGCATATGGCTAAGAGTAGTGACATTTAGGTATACTGACTGATTTTATTTTCAAAATAATTTAATTTAGTAAAATAAGTTCAAAATATAGCAAATTTATGTAATTTCAATAATATTGCAATAATTAATACACTTTAATTTTAATTAGAATTAATTGATTAAAGCAAACGTTAATTAGAATTATGCAACAATACCCAAAGTATCAAAATCAAACAAATAATTCATTCTCTGCAAAAAAAAAATGCCTGATTTTTTTATGATTTGTTATGCTGATGGTTCAAAGGCTTTGAAAGTGTATGCTTGAAAAGAGTAACCCCCGTTGCTTTTTAGTGAATATACCCAATTGTACAGATTTTACATGAAAGAAATAGAGTATGCTTGAAAAGAGTAACCCCCGTTGCTTTTTAGTGAATATACCCAATTGTACAGATTTTACATGAAAGAATTAGAGTGAGATTTTAAATTGACATACACCAATAAACCTATTTATAGAAAAATCAGACTAAAATTCATATTTCTGAAAATTGATGTATTCTTGAAGGTGGCAGAGGACAGTTTTTTTGGCAATCAAAACGTTTGGCTGATGTTTTTCTTAATATTGAGCTGCTTGTAAAATGTGCATTGGAAAATTTTTAATTCTTTCTACATGTAACAATGGTATGGTCTAGGCCCTTGAGGATTTCGAAGCTTTTAGGAATAAAACATGTACAACTTACACAATGAGCCCTAATGATGGCACAGGGACAATCTCAAACTTTCATGAAAATTTAGCCTATTTTCACTATTTCGCCAGATCCGCAACAGCTTCCAGGCCCGTGCTAATGCCCTATACTACCACACAAAATACAGACAAACACCTGTACATACCACTGAACAGCAAGAGATAATGGCTCAACCACCCCGTTTTCAAGCTACAATTCATCCTATGAACCCAACCCGCTTTTCTGGTGAAATATCGGAAGAGTGATTTTGATCTTAGTTTCGTATTTCTAGTCCATATCCCATAAACAGTAGTAGTGACACTAAAGTGTCATATATCAATAAAATATACAAGGCCACCAATTCCCTCCAAATGCACACATAAAATATTCTAGCAATAAAATCACATATAATATGCATTCAAACCTTAGGTTTCTCTATTTTTTTTTTTTTTTTTTTTGACCGGTACTTAATCCGAAACTATCCTCTGCCACCTAAACAAGCGCTTATGCAGTCTAATATCACGCATCCGAGTAGTGTATTTATCTGAAATGGTACTCAAAAGATTAAAATTTTCAAAATCCTTCACAACATCTTTGTGTAGAAAAATCTTCACATTAGGGCAAAAAAAATTAACTTTAGTTTCTCAGGCCAGAACTTTCAAAATGCAATGCAGCAGACAGGTTCTTTTCTTTTTTAGAAGCAGGTGTTCAACAAAATGATGATATCAGCTGTTTCTTACTTTTTTGTTCTCTTACATTAATTATAATAGATACTCAACTTTAAATAATGTTTTTCCAAACATTTGTTTAAAAGTTAATTCATAAAATGAACAACAAATATACTGTTTATCTAATAAAACGTCTATCTATTACATGTATGAAAAGAAAAATTACTCAATTTTCTTTCTCAACTTGGAAAAATAGAGAAATGAGTTACTTTACTTTTCAGTATGTCAATAAAAAATTTTTGGCCTTACTTTCTTTTGTTTGATCTAGCTTGTGTTTCTTTTGACCAGAGCAATTTCTGCACTCTTTCCTTTAGCGTAAATTCAGTTGAGGTGCTATGCACACGACTTTCATTTTAGATATAGACTGACAGTAAACTAATAGACGGGGTCGCGTGACCCTGTCAAAAACGATGTAGGTAGGTAGGAATTCTTTTCAGACAACAATGCTGTAGTTTCAAAATTTATTGAAGTTGAAGGTATTAATAGAATAAAAATATTTGTTGACTAAAGAAAAATCAGGAATAATTTAAAAAAAAAAATCGTTTCACAGAAGTTTAAAAAAACGTTTTGACTCTGGCCATTTTTAGCCAGCCGGTTGAGAGAGAGCAGACATTTTTTTTAAGATGGCCTGAATATCTTGATTTTTATTTTCTAAAATGACTGTGTTTATACCAGCACTTCTAAAGAAAGTTCGAGTTTATTGTTATCCTGAATTCTCATTTTCCCCCTAGGGGCCAAATGGGGACCGAAAAATCATATTCTTTATTTTACAAACCTGGTTCCTAGAAAATGATTGTTGTGTAAGCCTATTTCAAACTTCTTCTAAAAGACTTTTTCACATTTAATCCATCAGTCAAAAATGCTTTAAATGTATTTGGCAACACTATTAAACCCATTATCCCGTTCGTTTCAGAGTTATGGGGTTTTTTTATCCATCAACTTCCAAATTTAAGAGAAATCCAAATTTAACATTAGACAAAATATACTAAAGTTTAGAAGGTGAAAGTCTGCATCTTAACTTTTACAAATATTTTCTAAAAATGGTAAAATGATAAAAGCAGCAAAAGCAGCAGCAAAATGGTACAAGTGGTAAAAGCAGCAACTTTGCTGTAAGATCTGAGCTAGGATGATTGAATGTACACTTTGATGTCATTAAAAATATCCTGTTATACTGGCATAGATTAAAGAATCCAGATTGTGAATTTCCCTTACTTATTGATACTTTTAAATGTTCTAAAACACTACACCAAAATGGTGTTACTTCATGGTATTCTTGTATTAACTTCATACTTAACCATTTTGATATTAAACTTAGTGATGTTTTAGGTATGTCACTCCAATAGTTTAAAATAAACTTGAGAAGAATATTATTTAACTTCTATTAAATTACTTGGGAAAAAGACAGGAATTTACATGAAGGTGGTAAATTATCTACCTTCACCTGCCT